ACTATCGTTCGTCTGAATGGCTGATGCCTGGTGGTGAAACCGCGTCCACAGAGGACATCCCCATAAATAAGAAATGCTGCTTCAATTAGCATTTGGAATCATCAAATTTAATAATACATAATAAATACAACAACCGGGACCATCCAAGCTTTGTACAACATGAACGCCGGGGTCCGAAACAGTGTCAGCAAGCGACAACGTGGACCAACATTGTGTCGAGCCACTTGGAAAGAGGACACAAGTATACATGGTAACACTTTAACACAGGGGTGGGGAACCTTTGTCCTATCAGGGCTGCCTTCACTTTTTATAAAACCTGATTTTATGAAAAATAACACAAAATTTGAAAAAAAAAAATCTGTTGAGTTAAATTTTTATGCTGATTCCAAAATTGCAGTCAGTTTTTTTTTCCACACACGTTAAGATTTTTTACTCTGCAGTTTGGCAAATAACAAAAATTCCATTGTGTTGCTCTAATCAAACTTTTCATCTTATAACGATTGGATTTTCGTGTAGCGATGCGGCAACTTATTTGTGCAGTCACGATTGAGACAGTGCGGTGAGAGGTGTGTGCAGCTCCCAATAGGTCAGTACCTGCAAATAGAAAGCTAGCAAAGTCGGCATTAAGAGGATAAGTGCTGGCTTTTCTCTTAACCTTGGACATATTTTATTTTTATTTTTTTCTTAGTTTTCAAAGATTGTAACTACTCTATTTCAGTGTTTTACGTACATACTATTACAAAATGTGAATTCTATAGCTCAAAAACTTGACTTGGAGGAGAATAACCGAGGTCACTTTTGGATTCCACATCCAAATGTTTGTTAAAAGCAGCTGTCAGACCGAACTCAACAAAAGTTGTGTTCCTCAGCGGAGTACATCTTGAGGACTGAATCCAAATTTTATGAGAATATGTGTGTGTTTTATGTGGTGCTAATCTCACAAGAGCACATTCTCAAATCTAGTACAGTATAGTGGTATTACTACAACATGAAAGCTGCGTCTCTACGAGAGATAAAAAGTCGTAATCAGCCAAGAATAAGTCATAATTTAAATATTATATTAATGTGTAACAGAAGTTGCTAATCTTTGAGAAAAAAATCTCACTAGAGTTGGGGACAAGATTAATATTGTAATGATACATGACAAGTTTGATTCGAGGAAAGGATTGAGCCGTAATCTAACGACAAAAAGTATCGTATGAGAATAAAATTGTGATACCCTAAAAATAAATTCAATATTTAATATGATATCATATGATCACTAGATTAAGTCTCACCTGTTTTCTGGGTTTGTGTGATGTTCATGTGATGTTCACAGGTTGAGCCGTTAGGCACGGTGATGTCATTTTGGCCGCCCTCCGAGATGGTTAAAACGGTTGATTTTGGCTACTTAATTAATATTCCACAAACGCAATATTAATCAAAATAATGTGTTTAGACTAGTGGGGGCACATAGACGACAATATTGACAAGGACATTTTTGACTCGACTTCCCATTTAAGTGTTTTTACAGCAGATTCTCTATTGTTTGTTTGTCATATTAAGTGAAAGATGAGAAGAAAAGAGAGCTACTGACTGAGGCCAATATCATTACATCTCAAAAAAAAAAAAAAAAGGTAAATACAATCATTTGTACCTCAGTGACTTTAAAAAATCTTACTGGAGGTGTGGTACAAATACAGCTAGCTAGGTTGCCCACCCGTGCTTTAAAGCATACAACCACCTGTAGGCCTACACATCAAACAAGGCACTACATGGGGTCCTGGACTCTTTTGCTTCCTAATGATGGCGAGGTGGCTTTAAGGCAGTGGTTATCCTATAAACGGTATGTTTTGTATTAGCATAACTATCTGGGACTGTGTGGATTTCTGTAGGTAGGTAACAACAAAGGCTTTTGAGTGAAAAGGATCAAGTTATCAGGCTTCTGCAGAACTTGCTGATGAGCTGATCGTTTGAATCAGATGTGTTGGAGGAGGTAAACATCTAAAACATGCAGCAGACTGCCCCTCGTGTACCGTAGTTGGTGACCCCTGAGCTAGACTTTAGCTTTATGCTAGCTTTACCCTCATGCTGGCTTTTTTGTTTCCCCTGTTTTGATGTGAAACAAAGTTAGCTAAGGGTGTCCCCAAAAACAAAACATTCCACTTTTTGTCCATCCATCTCTTGTGCAAAAAATAAATAAAACAGTCAATCACATTATTTGAGATTTTACAGAAAACTGGGGACACTTTTAAGTTTTATATTTTAAGATCAAACCCATGGATCCCATGGCAGGTTAACAGAACACAGGAAACGGGTTTAAAATTGACACTTTTTACCTTAAATGTACAACTAAAGAACATAAATTACATTATAACCACAGAAACAGAGCCAAGTTGTTAATCCTTTGACAGGAATTAGTCGTTTTTACATTAATTGTTCAAATTGTTGAGCTAAATGTGGTAGTTAATATTAACGCTCGCTTTTTCTTTCTGCCAAACAAGGCTAATCAAGAAAGTGTTCAATAACAATATTTCCTTCTTTTTGTCCATCAATTTCTTGGTTGAGTCAAATAATATGTATAATAATGATTTACTGATGTAAAGGAGCTTTAATAAACACTACGTCTGGCTGCCGCTGCTCAACCCTTACTGTGTTTTATTGTTTTTGTTCCTGATTGTAAAGTGTCCTTGGGTGTCTTGAAAGGCGCTTATAAATAAAATGTATGATTATTATTATTACTACTCATTTGGAGATGATCACACTAATGTAGTAACTAGCCAAGTTTCGCTTAAACGGGGTTTATAATACAAAGTAGTTCGTTTTTATATAATAAATGATACAGCACATTAAGAGGGTCAAATTGTTCAGTTGTTGCTCAGGAATTGTTCTTTTTTTACAGTAATTGTTCACATTTTGGGTCACCTTTGAGCTAAACATGAGCATAATGCTAGATGTAATGTTCATCCAATCTTTATGCTAAACAAAGCTACCGGTAATTAACTGAACCAAGACAAATTTAGCACACTAATACGGTTCAGTTCTTTTTTTTTTAAACCAGGCTGATCAATACTATGTAAATTAGATTTTGTGACCATATTTCTTAATAAAAATAACAGAGAAAAGAATAAAGATCATATCTGAGAATAAAATATTCCCTTTTTTTTGTTCAAAGACATCGAAACTGACATCAACTCAATAATGAAATGAGAATAAAATATTCCCTTTTTTTTGTTAGCATTTATGCGAACTCCAAAGACATCGAAACTGACATCAACTCAATAATGAACATTGTTCAGCTATCATCGGACTTAACTTTACACCACGGCTAACGCCTAAAGATAACTCCTGTCTTGACATTTACACAGACACACAGACGGGCGACTTTTCATCGGGTGAAAAAAAAAAACCCACTTTATCAGGCACAACGTGCTTTCAGAACAGCTCGCATTAAATTTCAAAAATTACGTTTTAAAATTCTAAGAACAGAGTTGTAATTTAGCCAGTTAATATCTAAATACCCACTTTGACAAACCGCACCATGTCTGAAACGAGTCTCTCTGGAGACCTGATCATAAAAATGGCTAATACAGTACTATATACACGCACATTTGTGAAAAACGCATATGGTTAAACTCTCGAGTGCACAACATCAACCCTCTTTCAAAAAAAATTGATATTTAACAGGTTAAACTTCTTTTCTGAAAATTATTTTAGATGTGTATACGTTTTTAATTACGTTTTGTTTTACATAATACTTGACTTTTATCCCTCATACAATTATGAAGTCTTACGGATTTAATGCACATTAAAATGACCACGTTTGGTCATAATTTAACTTTATTTTTATAAAATGCTACATTTCTCCTTAGGAAATTTTGATAAGTAGACTTTCTTTAACATTATGACTTATCATAAAAAAGTACCACTTTGTCATTTTGCTCTTTTCATCGTAAAATTGTATCATTGCATCGTATCAACAACCAGTTGGTTTGGTTCTGGATTCATGGACAGACTTCAGGGTACTCACAGAGCCATAAAAGATCCCAAATGTTCTATTTGGGGAAGAAAAACTTCAATCACAGCTCACAAACATGTTACAAAAACAAAACAGGGTAAGGGCAATCTTCAGTTTTGTGGGCCGATGACACCATACGGCTTTGATCAGGTGTCCCGAATAAAGTGGCTCCCGATTTCAACTCTTTTTGTTTGTTTTGTCTGACATTCACGTGTAATCCAACAGCATCAAATGTAAATGTTAGTGATTGGGAGATGAAATTGCAATAATAGCTGAACTTTGACCCAGAACGTATACACGTGTTTGACTCTGAAAGGGGGCATATTGCGAAAAAGGGGCTTTTTAATTGCCGAAAATGTGCCTGTAAGCAAGCTGTTTCGATTTTGGCTTGACTATGAAGTCACAGTGTTTGGCGATGTTTTTGCTGCATGTGCCACGTTCATGTATCTACATCCTAATTCAGTGGTCCCCAACCACCGTTCTTCAGTATGGTGATTAGTTTCCAATTGGGAAGATACGTCAGAAACTCAATCATTCCACTCTCACCCCGCATTGACAAAAGTTTGTCAGTATGTGAAAAATCAGTACGACATTGAACCTGAAGGAAAACGACTTGGGGACCACTTAAAGGGCGCTCAGATGCGCTTGCTTTTTAATATGAGGCTCAATACATCTGCACCTGGTCCCTATGGAAATGCAAAGCTCTAGTCGGATTGGCACACCCCACGGTAGATAGGGGAGGGGTGAACAGTGGCTACTTTGCATGACACAATGATTTTTTTATTTGGGGGAATCTGGAATCAAACAAGTTACAGACATGACATTTACACATCTGGGAACTGCTTTAAGTTAGGTCAAAATGGCATGATATGTCCTCTACAAGTTTACTGCAGAATAAAAAGGGTCATGATCATCCTCCTTTTGATCGGCGGCACAACATAAACACACACACACACACACACACACACACACACACACACACACACACGCGCGCACACACACGCGCGCACACACACACACGCACACACACAACAGGCCACTTTCAGATCGGGGTCCACTGTCAAACATCTAAACCAACAAGCACGTGAGTGGGACTGACGACGGGAAAGGAAAAAAAAAAAAAAAAACGGAGATCGAACAAGGCACGAAATAGTCTGTAAAAGAAAGAAATTGTACAGAAGTTTAGGCCCCAGCAGTCCAGGAGACAGGAGACTGGGCCTCTTCTCAACACGAGGCCAAGCCAGTCCTAATTTCGGTTCCTCTCTAAATCCTCATTCTCCCTACCCCCCGCCACCCACCAAACAATGATCTGAATCAGAGTTAGACACCACCAGCCTTCCTTCCACACTTTAGATGTAATACTCCTTCTTCTCATCCGTGTTGGTGTTTCCGCCCTCGGCGTTGATGATGGCCGTGTCGGCGTCGGCTGCGTCGTCCGCCCCTTTGGCTTCGTGCGTGAAGTAAGTGCCTGCGCGCAAACAAAAAGAACAACACACTCGAGAAGCCTCTCAGACGACAACAAAAGACACTCGGGATGAGTTCATGGTCAAGTGCGATTGGCCGCATTTTACCTTTGTGTCTGGCAAAATACCGGCCGAGAACAATCAGCGCGCAGAGGATGGCGAACATCACCACGGCAACCACCCCGCCAATGACAGCATGGTCGAGTTTGGGTGGCGCGCCCTCACCGGCTCGGGAGTCTGAAAACAAGAACATTTACATGTAATCATTTGACAACAAATAGAGATCCAGATGTATACAAACAGCACTGTTTGATCCACTGACTCCATTTGAGATGTCATTCGGAAAGTAAAATGTCGCAGTAGCACCAACTTGGCTGTGTGATTGACAAACATTTCTGACTGTGCACACAGTAAATGCCAAAAGGTAGCATAAGGACTTAATACCGTTTGTGTACTAGCCAATGTGTGATGCTCCACATATTTATTGATATCTGTGTTTATAACCGAATAAGGTGATGTAACATGGGTTCGTTGTTGTGTCCGTTATATGCATGGTGCTTCCAGTTGATGATGCTTGTGGCATCGATGCATCACTACAACAGTCAACTATTTGTGTCTTTTCGCTCTCCATGGCAGGGCTCAGTCCATTTTCCCCATGAAAAGCAAAGGTTTACTGCACATTTGCCGCAAAAGTACCGAAAAAAAAAACTGACAAGTGCGGTATTTTCCACACTCTGAGGTGCACCTAAAAGCATTGAATTTTGTCATAAGGCGACAGTGCGGCTTATAATACGATGCGCCTTATAGATGCAACAATATTCTGAATTCTTGGACGTAGTATTCTAAATGTGCCCCATGAAAAGCAAAGGTTTACTGCACATTTGCCACAAAAGTACAGGAAAAAAAAATGACAAGTGCAGTATTTTCCACACTCTGAGGTACACCTAAAAGCATTCGATTTTCTCATAAGGCGACAGTGCGAATATAATATTCTGAATTCTTGGACGTAGTATTCTAAATGTTCCGTGAATCGCTTTGTTACAGCTGGAGCGATTGTGGAAGCTCTATATAAATAAAGCTGAATTGTATTGTATTCCCTTTAGCGTAACTCAATCTAGGGGATGCATAACGCAACTGCAGCCACTATTGTAGCTTCTATTCTATGCGCCTTATAATGAGTTGCGCCCTATATATGAAAACAGTTTCAAATTAGGCCATTCATTGAAGGCGCCTTATACACCCAAGTGCGGAAAATACGGTAATTAGTGCTGTTGTCCACATACTTTTGAGACCCGGCAACTACTTAAAATGCCGAGCATTCTTGAATTTCTATGAAACCACTTCAATGAAAGCTGAACGTCAACTAGCTCTCACAAAGACCTTAGAGTACGTTATTTCATCAAGAACAAAATGAAAACTGTGCCGTCCAAATATTGTCATGTTTTTTTGTGGTAACACACAAATGATTAGACTGGCGAGATAAACAAAACAGGCTTATTTTCTCTCCAGGCATCGTCACTTGACCTAACGCAAAGGAAGCTCGACTCTGAAAAGTGCCAGTTTATGTTGTTCACTGATTAAAAAAAAAAAAAAAAAACACATGCTACAATGGCACTATTTACTCCCTAAGGGGTTGGGGGAGCTGTGTGTATGCTAAACGGTTTAACTTAAGGGACCACAAATAGACTATTAAAGTATTTTGTTCTTACTTAAGGACACATACAGCAACTGGAATACTGTAGCACTGCGCCAACGTTTTATCACCACGTTTTTCAGTTATGCTTCTTTTCAGGGCTTCAAGTGCACTCGATTACAGGCGAGGCCATTCAATTGGAATGTTTCTTCACACACTAAAGAACTGCAGCTGTTATGAACACGGCATATAAAGAAAGAGGTAATGTATTATATTGTATTGCAATGTTAAAAGGACAAGAATGTCTTGTTAAATGAGCAGCCGTAAGAAGGGAAATTTAAGCAACAATTTGGCATCATTTGACCCTGATGTAACAGCTTCGAAATAGCTAACTTGGGGTAAAGGTCATATTGATTGCTATTGTGGCAACATATCAATCATTTTATCTATTCATTCATCCATGCATTTTCTAATCCGCTTATGCTCACGAGGTCGCAAGAGGGGCGGGGGACACCCTGAACTGGTTGCCAGCCAATCGCAGGGCATACACTAGAATCATTGCTAATTAACTTATTTATGTACGTATTTATTTATCATGATGAAAGTAAATTACGGTTAGAAAAAAAAATACACAAACAAACAAAAAAAAAAACCCAGCATTGTGATAACACATTTCTTGATGGTTTTTTTTTTTTTTTTTTTATCTCAGTGGCTTCAAAGTTCTTGCCACGTTACACATATCAGTGGTGCTTGGTCGTATTTTTTAAAATTATTCTTTTATTATTTTGGCGAACCAGCCAGGACACCTCACATGTTGTGGCTGTTAGCAGTAGCAGTCTGGCGCAGTGGCTGTACTTTTCATTGATGTATTTATCTATCATGATGGAAGTAAATAACACAGTACAAAAGTGCCTGGGACAAAAAAAAACAAAACAAAACAAAAAAAACCTTAATAATATCCATAGACCAGCCAGGACACCTGTTTATTTAATAGTAACGGTTATTCACTTTAAAATATTAGTGGACCAGCAAGGACAGCTGTTGTGTTAGTGAAAGCATCGGAGCTGGCATTTCTTTGTCCATGTACTTGTATTTATTTGTCACAGTGGCTAAAAATTAAATAAAACTGTAAAACTGTAGCAGTGGACTTGTAGCAAATAAAAAGAAGTATTTCTATCTGCTGTCAACAATACTTCTGTTACTGAGGTGTCTTTACATAGACCATACACGGCGCTTTTATACCGTCGGGTTGGAGGGGTGTTTTGAGGACGTTATTATCCCGTGTAACAGTCAACACCGCCTACAATTTGGGTGAGAGTTCACACGCAATAAAATATATTGCGCTTCATAAGAGGCCATTTGTGGAAGTCATATCGAGCTCCATCATGACACGCAGTCTGCAGATAAATTGCAGCCGCTCGCCTCAGGTATCATGGAGCTGCGCTCTTTCACGTGAAGGCACATTTATCCGCGTACCCCTGCACCCCGGAAAGAAGGCAACATTTGAAGCCTTTACATTTTCCGGCCCAGAATAGTTCGGAGGCGTTGATCAATCGTCTACAATGGGCACGCAACGGGAGTGATGAAGGTGTGAAAGTAGACGGGGGGTGGGAATGGGAGACGGAAATGGCGCCACTGTTCTTTGCTGCATGAGAGAGCAGCTCAATTTGCCCCCAATCTCACTAGTCATACTCTTGACTTGAACGATTTCGCTCTAAAACACCAGCAGTGTAACAATGGAAGAAAACTATCTCAGAGTTCCTTTTTTTTTTTTTTTTCCAAAAGAAAAAAATGTGATGGCGCACCAATCATTTAAGTGAGACGGTCTCAAAAAGCTTTGCTGGGCTGGATGCACACGCGTCGCTTACATCACATACCGCGGTTAGTGATCGAGGCAAGCTCGGTCTTACTTATGCCACGACAGCTAGCTAGCAACGAGAAGATTAGCTGAAGATGACGATTTTGAAGAGAAACAGTGCATAATGGTGCAAAGTTAAGCTAGACGTGTATTTTATCATTTGTCTGTGTTTTGCTGGTCCGTTAAATACGTCTCCATGAAAAATGAGGATGCCTGATCTAGAGCCAAGGCACACTTTTTCTTTTTGTGATGAACTTCCCAGCAGGCGTTTGGCCATAAGGTCGGTATTGTGATTAAATTACTTTGATTGGATTTATTTTCTACAAAACTAAATAGACTTTGAGATTTCTGGAAGAATTGTATGAGAATGCTCAATCTTTGAATGGTGATTTTGAATGATATGTAATGATATTGGATAATATGGAATGAACTGTAGTAATGTGAAATGGTATTGCTGAAAAATGTGCAATAGGTTGATGAAAAATGTGGAATGATCTTCCTTATTCAATAATAAGGTATGACATGGAATGACGTTTAATGGGATGGAATGATGTGAAATGATATTGGTGAAAATACGCAATGTGTAAAGTTTTTACGTGTCAATTTCTGGAATGTTGACATTTGTTCCAAGGGGGATTGAATAAGATGAACATGAAAAACTGTTGAATTGTGGGAAAACAGAATCTTGGGGATGAGGAAATAGATGTGAATTTTTGAAATATGACGACATTGGAATGATGTGAATTCTGTGGAGGGAGAGCCACGTCAAAAAGTGAGCGGAATAATTCTCATTTTAATTTATGAATTATATTATGGTGCGAATGCCTTAGCATTCGCAAAATAAAAGAAGTTGCTCTCCTTCAAAGTGTGAGTGTAGTCGGAGCGGTCCGTGAGTCCTGACCTCCCGACTGCACACTGCCTCCGTGACATAAAGCATTTTTCCATTTCGAGTGTGCTCGATCCTTTTCAATGAGATTCAATGAAATTCACAAGTCTCGGGGAAAAAATTCACATTCCATGATTTGAAGCCGGCCTTATCTGGAAGTGAATCACACCTCTTTGGAGTTTCTGTGATCATTCTCATCTTATATTTGGTTGGTGTGTCATTAATCTGGATAGGAGAATACTATTAAACGAAAAGCTTCATTTCACCACAGTCCCACCTGCTGGATTTAATAAAGCACGGGTCTACATGTGCAAATCCTTGTTACTAGGCAGATGTTGAGCAATTTAAAAGAAAAAAAATGGCATCATGCAATCATGCTCATGAAGCGGTTTCCTTCACGTGTGGCAGATGGCAAAATCCCCGAAAGAAATGGGAGAGTTGGCAGGAATGAAAAGTTACAAGCATATGGCAAATTTATCAATACCTCGCCCCGCTACCAAAAAAGTGTCAAAAAATGTTTTTTTTCATTCTTTGTTCACTACAGCGCCGCCGGTGGGGTTTTAGGAAGCACTGCTCCCAATACGGCACCATGTAATTGCTGTAAAAAAGTCTGCACAAAGCGTAATTTGTCATAAATGCGAGCACAGTGAAACTAATTAATGAGCGTTTTTTTGAAGTTTGGTTTCGCATGAGCAAAACCTCCGCCCCCCCCCCCCCCAGTTTGAAAAGAACCACGTGCCGAGAGTTGGATGTGTGAGGCGCAGTGTGTTTACTGTGGCGGGGGATGCCAGAAAGCACGGCCAAGTCCCTCAGGAGAAAGAAAAGCTGCACTTTAATGAACATCCATGTACTAAAAAGAC